CAAACCATTAGCCAGACTCATCAAGAAACAAAGGGAGAAGAATGAAATCATCAGAATTAGAAATGAAAATGGAGAAATCACAACAGACAACACAGAAATACAAAGGATCATAAGAGACTACTATCAGCAACTGTATGCCAATAAAATGGACAACTTGGAAGAAATGGACAAATGCTTAGAAAAAGTATAACTTTCCAGAACTGAACCAGGAAGAAATAGAAAATCTTAACAGACGCATCACAAGCACAGAAATCAAAACTGTAATCAGAAATCTTCCAGCAAACGCCCAGGACCAGATGGCTTCACAGCTGAATTCTACCAAAAATTTAGGGAAGAGCTAACACCTATCCTACTCAAACTCTTCCAGAAAATTGCAGAGGAAGGTAAACTTCCAAACTCATTCTATGAGGCCACCATCACCCTAGTACCACAACCAGACAAAGATGCCACAAAAAAAGAAAACTACAGGCCAATATCACTGATGAACATAGATGCAAAAATCCTTAACAAAATTCTAGCAGACAGAATCCAACAACGTATTAAAAAGATCATACATCATGACCAAGTGGGCTTTATCCCAGGGATGCAAGGAATCAGTATCCGCAAATCGATCAATGTGATACACCACATTAACAAATTGAAAGATAAAAACCATATGATTATCTCAATAGATGCAGAGAAAGCCTTTGACAAAAGTCAACATCCATTTATGATAAAAACCCTCCAGAAAGCAGGCACAGAAGGAACATACCTCAACATAATAAAAGCTATATATGATAAACCCACAGCAAACGTTATCCTCAATGGTGAAAAATTGAAAGCATTTCCCCTTAAATCAGAAACAAGACAAGGTTGCCTACTCTCACCACTACTATTCAACATGGTTTTGGAAGTTTTAGCCACAGCAATCAGAGCAGAAAAAGAAATAAAAGTAATCCAGATTGGAAAAGAAGAAGTAAAATTCTCATTGCAGATGACATGATCCTCTACATAGGAAACCTTAAAGACTCCACCAGAAAATTACTAGAGCTAATCAATGAATATAGAGAAGTTGCAGGATATAAAATTAACACACACAAATCCCTTGCATTCCTATACACTAATAATGAGAAAACAGAGAAATTAAGGAAACAGTTCCACTCACCATTGCAACAAAAAGAATAAAATACTTAGGAACAAATCTACCTAAAGAAACAAAAGACCTATATATAGAAAACTATAAAACACTGATGAAAGAAAACAAAGATGACACAAATAGATGGAGAAATTTACCATGTTCATGGATTGGAAGAATCAATATAGTGAAAATGAGTATACTACCCAAAACAATCTATAGATTCAGTGCAGTCCCCATCAAGCTACCACCGTTGTTTTTCAGAGAAGTAGAACAAACAATTTCACAATTTGTATGGAAATGCAAAAAGCCTTGAATAGCCAAAGCAATCTTGAGAAAGAAGAATGGAACTTGAGGAATCAACGTGCCTGACTTCAGACTATACTACAAAGCTACAGTCATCAAGACAGTAGGGTACTGGCACAAAGACCGAAATATAGATCAATGGAACAAAATAGAAAGCCCAGAGATAAATCCACGCACCTATGGACACCTTATCTCTGACAAAGGAGGCAAGAATATACAATGGAGAAAAGACAATCCCTTTAACAAGTGGTGCTAGGAAATGGTCAACCACTTGTAAAAGAATGAAACTAGAACAATTTCTAAAACCGTACACAAAAATAAACTCAAAATGGGTTAAAGATCTAAACATAAGACCAGAAACTATAAAACTCCTAGAGGAAAACAGGTAAAACACTCTCTGACATAAATCACAGCAGGATCCTCTATGACCCACCTCCCAGAGTAATGGAAATAAAAGCAATAATAAACAAATGGGACCTAATTAAAAGCTTTTGCACAATGAAGGAAACAATAAGCAAGGTGAAAAGACAGCCTTCAGAATGGGAGAAAATAATAGCAAATGAAACAACTGACAATTAATCTCAAAAATATACAAGCAGCTCCTGCAGCTTAATTCCAGAAATATAAACGACCCAATCAATAAATGGGCCAAAGAACTAAACAGACATTTCTCCAAAGAAGACATACAGATGGCTAACAAACACATGAAAAGATGTTCAACATCACTCATTATCAGAGAAATGCAAATCAAAACCACAATGAGGTACCATCTCACTCCAGTCAGAATGGCTGCTATCAAAGTCTACAAACAGTAAATGCTGGAGAGGATGTGGAGAAAAGGGAACGCTCTAACTCTGTTGGTGGGAATGCCAACTAATACAGCCACTGTGAAGAACAGTGTGGAGATTCCCTAAAAAATTGGAAATAGAACTGCCATACAACCCAGCAATCCCACTGCTGGACATACACACCAAGGAAACCAGAATTGAAAGATATGTGTACCCCAGTGTTCATCACAGCACTGTTTACAATAGCCAGGACATGGAAGCAACCTAGATGTCCATCAGCAGATGAATAGATAAGAAAGCTGTGGTACATATACACAATGGAATGTTACTCAGCTACTAAAAAGAACACATTTGAATCGGTTCTAATGAGGTGGATGAAACTGGAGCCTGTTATACAGAGTGAAGTAAGTCAGAAAGAAAAACACCAATACAGTATACTAACACATACATATGGAATTTAGGAAGATGGTAACAATGACCCTATATGCAGGACATCAAAAGAGACACAGATATAAAGAACAGACTTTTGAACTCTGTGGGAGAAGGTGAGGGTGGGATGATTTGAGAGAATAGCATTGAAACATGCATATTATCATATGTGAAATAGATCGCCAGTCCAGGTTCAATGCATGAGACAGGGTGCTCAGGGCTGGTGCACTGGGATGACCCAGAGGGATGGGATGGGGAGGGAGGTGGGAGGGGAGTTCAGGATGGGGAACACATGTACACCTATAGCTGATTCATGTCAATGTTTGGCAAAAACCACTACAGTATTGTAAAGTAATTAGCCTTTAATTAAAATAAATTCATTTTAAAAAGAAAAATAAATAAATAAAATATATCTATCTGGCTGTTAAAAAAAAAAGGATGGGAAGTTGTCCAAATGGCCACCGAATTTTCTGTAAGCTTGTATTTTATAGCTCTTTTAGACCTCAGTTGATCCCAGGGCTATTCAGTTTTGAAGATAACTCTAATGTTCCCTTCACTTAATTTTTATTTTAATTTTTGGCAATATTTTCAAAAATGAACTTGTTATTTGCATAATATGTTTCCACCTCATAAATAAATGAATAAAATAGTGATACTGTCAAGCATGGGAACAACAGTGGAGTTCAATTTCTATTGTCTACTTGGTTAAAATTGAGGGCTGAAATGAATAGATTGCCATTTAAAATCTGCTGATGCATTTACTTTAGGAATGTTGTTAAGGATATCACTATAATTACTCATTAGCCCCTACATCAAGATGGCTTTGTAAGAAATATTTCATTCTAAGTGTCATAAGTTTTTTATTTCTGTAACTGAACTGACCATGTTTCCTTTGTTGATCTGACTGCCAGGAAACTAACCTTTATTTTCAGCTTTCTTGTTTTATTGTGTTATTTGTATAAGTTGCCTCATGATGATAAGAAGTTAATATTGTGCTTCCAGGGAGAATTTTTTCATACTTTTAGGATATTCAGAAAATTTACCTAAACCATTGTCTGCTGTGTTTATTAGTAGGATATAATGTAGCTCCTCATTTCTAACTTAATTTTGTTCATGTGAATCAGATACTGTATAACATTGATTGCCAGTAATACTTAAGTATTAATTTAAATACTTATACTTAATTTTAATAATTTGCTTTAAATTTATTATTACCAAATAATTCCACATTAAGATATGAGCAGATCAATTATGTCTTAATTCTGGGAAATTATATTTAAAAACTTTGCACCTACAATGAGAATGTCTTGGTCTTCTAATATGTAAGAATGAGCTATAGTCACTGTTTTTCTCTTAATCAAACTCAATCTGTCTTTAATGATTCCTGTGATACCTTCTATCTAAAATAATTGATCCTTTACGTTTGAAAACATCTCATTTTGGGAATATAATCTAATTGGTAATTTTAATTAAATTAATTTGTTATAAATGTGTTTATTGTTCTGAGGGTATACCATTGCTTTCTGTTTATAATATTTCTTAGTATTTGTTCATTTTTGTGATACTGTTATCTGATAATTTGAGTAAATCCCAGCTGAATTATGTTGCCACATTATGTCTTCAAAAGGGCATAAAGTCAGTACACATGCTTCAGTAATATCTGGTTGTTTTACCCTTATGTTTCCAGTTGGCAATTTGAAATTATGGCTTCAACTGCACTTTAAATATGTGATAATAGCATGTGTTTCTAATAAGGGCCAGCACCATTTTGTTCAGATAGTGTGAATGGTTGTCACTCACATATGACAAATGCACCTTCATCTGCTTCTTTGATAGCCCCCTAAAAACCATACCCTCAAATCAGGCCGATGAAATTAGCTGCTGTGTAAATTGTGTGTCTGAGTGGTTCATTATCTAATCACCGTCAGAACCACAGTGATAAAGTAGATTGAAGCAGGAAAGAGGTCTGCCAGATGATTTCACACCCCCCCCCCAAAATCCGGTTTCCCTTGGAAACCCTAATAGTGCAGTTTAGAACTTTAGACTCTCATGCCTGGAATACAGTATCTTTTAATGTACCAAACCTGAAAATACCGGTAGTTCTGGAGCATAATTTTCTTTCTGTAAAAATCATAATTTTATTTATTTCAATCAGTTTTTGAAATGTTGAAGCTCTTGAATTATTATTTTACTGATAGTGCCCTAAATAATATGAAATCAGAAAAAAAAAAATACTCTGTCTTACTTGTAAGAATTCAGAATAATTTGAGTAAATTGTTAACCTTCTAGGAATCTTGACTCACTCTAATAATGACCTTCTGTGTTATTTGTTTATTGAATTGCTTTGCTTTAATTTATTTTAGGTGCTTTTGAAGATGATGATATCACACATGTTGAAGGAAGTGTAGATCCTGTTCGAGATATAGAAATAATACATGAAGAGCTTCAGCTTAAAGATGAGGAAATGATTGGGCCCATTATAGATAAACTAGAGAAAGTGGCTGTGAGAGGAGGAGATAAAAAACTAAAACCTGAATATGTAAGTAAAATTTATAGCTTCTGTAGATATTTGATTTCATTTTCTTTGATTAATTTTTTAAAATAAAGCACATATAACATCTAATATTATTATGGAATTTTAGGATTCAAGAATCTTTTCTTTTTTTTTAACTTTTACTAAAGCAGCAAATACTTTTAAACAGAAAAATGTAACAAGAAAAAAGCATTTTCCCTATTATTTACAATTCCCCATCATTATTTATAATTGGTATTTATAGTTCCCCGTTGCCTTTTTTTATTTAATTTTTAAAAAATTTATTTTTTTAACTGAAGGACAATTGCTTTACAGAATTTTGTTGTTTTCTGTCAAACATCAACACGAACCAGTCATAGGTGTACATATGTTACCTCTCTTAGAATGATTCAAGGACCATTTCTGTTCAAACATTGTTGAAAAACTTTGTTTTCTCTTGGCAACAAAGGATCATTGTGATAGACTGGTTAAGTATTCTTAGCAAGCCATATTTAGCACTAATACTGAGTATTTATATGGTTACTATTAATTAGTAGCCTCAAGTTTTAATGTTGGAAAGTTAAGTCGCTCAGTCGTGTCTGACTCTTTGTGACCCTGTGGACTGTAGCCTACCAGGCTCCTCCGTCCATGGGATTTTCCAGGAAAGAATACTGGAGTGGGTTGCCATTTCCTTCTGCAGGGGATCTTCCCAACCCAGGGATCGAACCCAGGTCTCCCACATTGTAGGCAGACGCTTTACCGTCTGACTGCTGCTACTGCTAAGTCACTTCAGTCGTGTCTGACTCTGTGCAACCCCATAGACGGCAGCCCACCAGGTTCCGCCGTCCCTGGGATCCTCCAGGCAAGAACACTGGAGTGGGTTGCCATTTCCTTCTCCAACGCATAAAAGTGATAAGTGAAAGTGAAGTCGCTCAGTCATGTCTGACTCTTCACGACCCCATGGACTGCAGCCTACCAGACTCCTCCGTCCATGGGATTTTCCAGGCAAGAGTACTGGAGTGGGGTGTCATTGCCTTCTCCATTACCATCTGAGCTACCAGGGAAAACCTTTAATGTTGGAGATGTGGAATTTTCTGATGAAAATTTGCCAAACTTAACTAAATGACTGAATATGAGTTTTGTGGATTTGAAGAAGTGATTTATATAAGGAATTGATCTTCCATAGCAATTGACTGAATGAATGCACTATTAAAGTAGACAAATAATTTTAACATTTTATGCAGTGAAAACACATGTCATTGTCTTTAATATTCAAATCTTTTTATCACATTATTGTGAATACTTTTTAGTAATATTCTAATCAATGTTTCAAAATTGGTTTTGAAGCTTTTAGTTTAAATACAGAAAAATTGTCTTTTACCATAAAAAAGCAGCTGAATTTTGTATTTTATCATTTATTAACATCTTCCATAAACTGTTCTTGCTTTTTATGGCTTTTTTATTATAGGAAATTTTCTTTCTTTTTAACTTTTCATGTGATTTTAATATGCCTATTTTTTATTTGCCCATTTTTAGAAGCTGATTATCTTTTCTTTTTGTTTTCTCATTTATTTTTAATAAGTTTGGCAGACACACAGTTGATTAGGGCACTCTAATAGGAAGAAATCAATTACAGAATCTAAACGTAGGCACACTACCAATAAATTATGGTTGAAAGTGCCTGGTCTTAAAGCAGAGAGACCTGTGTTGTGCTACTCATTTCTTGATAGTTTGGAGCAAGCCCAAGTCATTTGACTTTTCTTGACATCATGGTTGTTTCACTTTTTTCCTATGCAAATAGAGTGGAGAAAGGAAAGCAATTTGTCTGTGGAAATTATACAAGATAATAGGACAGAAAAAGGGATTTCACATATGGATAAAGATATTCCTTTCTGAAAAGGGGAAAAATCGTGAGAAAGATATTGGGATTGAAGGCAATTCGTTTGCCCCAAACAACATGATTTTCTGATTAGAATAAAGCTGAGCAGTCATCCCTTAGTTAACTGATGCTTTCTGACATCCTTATCTGTTTCAGAAGCAATAATTGCCTTAAAAATAAAATTTGTTGATCTTGCTTTTACATGGGGAAAAGAGACATCACATTCTTCTGAAATTCTTGGGCTACCATTTCCTGGCCTTTCTTCTTGAAGAAAATTAGAACATTAGAAAAATTAGAACATCTATTACTTCTTATTTCCAAACACTGAGATTATTTCATCATTTTCTTTCCTCAGATTTAGCTGCTTCAGAATAAAGTATAGATTTGTGTTTCTCAGCTTTCTTTCTGATTATCATTGTCCCTAAGGAAAATTTAAATTAATTAAATTTCTTCCTAATGAGAGAAATTAAGTACTAATGAGTAAGAATTTTTTGGATAGAGTTGAGCTTTGGAGGGCCACAAAGTATTTTAATAACCAAGTTGTTTTTTTTTTTTTCCACTCCCAAGAGTCAATTTTTGCCTCTCTAGGAGTAATATTACCCCTATTGTGCATTTATGGGGCTTCCCTGGTGGCTTAGTGGTAAAGAACTCGCTGCAACAAGATCCTTAGAAATTCTAATACATAATTATTTTCTGTAACCCAAGAAATATGGGAGCCAAGAGAGTATTAAATACGATAAAAAGTCTCTTGTGATTTAGTCTTTAAGTCATGTCTGAGTCTTTTGCAACCCCATGGACTGTAGCCCACAAGGCTCCTCTGTCCCTGGGATTTCTCAAGCAAGAATACTGGGAGTGGGTTGCCATTTACTTCTCCAAAGGATCTTTTCAACCCAAGGATTGAACCTGAGTCTCATTCATTGTCAGGTGGGTTCTTTATCACTGAACCACTAAGGAGGCCCCAATAGTTTCCTAGGGCTGCCATAACAATTATCACAAACTAGATAGCTTAAAATAATAGAGATATATTCTTTCTCAGTTCAAGAGGCTAGAAGCAGTCTGAAATCAAGGTGCCAGCAGGGCCGTGTTCCCTTGAAACTCTCCCACAGGAGAGTCCTTTCTTGCTTTTTCAGTTTTTGGTAGCCTCAAGCATTCCTTGGCATGTGGCGGTATAACTGCAGTCTCTGCCTCCATCTTCGCGTGGCCACCTTCCCCTGTGTCTCTGTCCAAATTTCCCTCTTCTTATAAGTGAAAGTGTTAGTCACTCAGTCATGTCTGATTCTTTGTGACCATATGGACTGTAGCCTGCCGGGCTTCTCTGTCCATGAGGTTTCCCAGGGAAGAATACTGGAGTGGGTAGCCATTTCCTTCTCCAGGGCACCTTCCTGACCCAGAGATTTGAACCCAGGTTTCCTGCATTGTAGGCAGATTCTTTATCTTATGAGCCTCCAGGGAAGCTCCTTATAAGGATACCAGTTATAATCACTTTAAGAGCCTACCCTACACCAGATAGGCATCTTTACCTAATTTCCATAACGCTACACTCTAAGGGATACATAATTCAACCTATCTTTTGAGGACACATTAAAACCTTAACTTTAACACCAGAGACATCAAGATCAAGATTGATTTTAAAGTTTATATACATTCTATTGGGCTTCCCTGGTAGCTCAACTGGTAAAGAATCCACCTGCAATGCAGGAGACCCCGGTTCGATTCCTGGGTCAGGAAGATCCGCTGGAGAAGGGATAGGCTACCTACTCCAGTATTCTTGGTCCCTGGTGGCTCAGATGGTAAAGAATTCGCCTGCAGTGTGGGAGACCTGGGTTCAATCCCTGGGTTGGGAAGATCCCCTAGAGAAAGGCATGGCAACCCACTCCAGTATTCCTGCCTGGAAAATTCCATGGGCAGTGGAGCCTGGTGGGCTACAGTCCATGGGGTCACAAAGTCGGACACAACTAAGCAATGAAGCACATACATACATGTTATTTGGAAAGACAAAATTCGGAAATGAAGGTAGAAAGCTTTAAGGATCATTTTATTATGTATTGACTAATTGGGAATCATCATACTTAAAAGATATTTATAAAACTAACAGTTATCTGATTAAACCACTAAATAAGGCAACCAGGAATTGTAAGTAATCTGTTTTTCTTGTCAAGTCTCTCTGAATTAAATAATTAATGTCCCCCAAACATATAACTATAAGCAGATCTCTTCTCATTATTCTTAGGGCAGTTTTTAAAGTTAATTTTTACCTCACTTAAAAAACATTAAATGGGAAAGATTAGAGATCTCTTCAAGAAAATTAGAGATACCAAGGGGATATTTCATGCAAAGATGGGCACAATAAAGGACAGAAATGGGAAGGACCTGACAGAAGCAGAAGATATTAAGAAGAGGTGGCAAGAACATACAGAAGAACTATACAGAAAAGTCTTAATGACACAGATAACCACGATGGTGTGGTCACAAACCTAGAGGCAGACATCCTGGAGTGTGAAATCAAGTGGGCCTTAGGAAGCATTACTACAAACAAAACTAGTGGAGGTTATAGAATTCCAGCTAAGCTGTTAAAAATCCTAAAAAACTATGCTGTTAAAGTGCTGTACTCAATATGCCAGCAAATTTGGTAAACTCAGCAGTGGCCACAGGACTGGAAAAGTTCAGTTTTCATTCCAACCCCAAAGAAAGGCAGTGCCAAAGAATGTTGAAATTGCTGCACAGTTGCCCTTAATTCACATGCTAGCAAGGTAATGCTCAAAATCCTTCGAGCTAGGCTTCAACAATACATGAACCTAGAACTTTCAGATGTATAAACTGGATTTAGAAAAGGCAGAGAAACCAGAGATCAAATTGCCAACATATGTTGAATGATCGAAAAAGCAAGAGAATTCCAGGAAAACATCTATTTCTGCTTCATTGACTATGCTAAAGCCTTTGACTATGTGGCTTACAGCATACTGTGGAAAATTCTTACAGAAATGGGAATACCAGACCACCTTACTGCCTCCTGAGAAACATGTATGCAGTTCAAGAAGCAACAGGTAGAACTGGACATGGAACAACAGACCATCTCAAAATTGGGAAAGCAGTATGTCAAGGCTATATATTGTTATCCTGTTTAACTTCTGTGCAGAGTAGATCAAGC